CACTCACTCACTCACTCACTCACTCATTCACTCACAAGAGGAGTTTCAGATTCTGTGTGGCTGACTTTGGGGTCTTAATCATAGATGCTGCTGTTATATATCAAAAAGAAAAATAATAAATAATAATTTTCATCTATTGAATGCCTAGTTTATACCTGACACTTATTCTAATAAATCCTCAGAAGAACCCCTGAGATAGGTATCATGTTTTTAAAAAACAGCTTTATTGAAGTACTATTTATTTCATAAAATTCACCTATTTGTATAAGTGTACAAATTCAATGATTATAAAAAATTTAGAATTGTACAACCATCATTACAATCCCTCAGATTTCAATCACCCCAATAAGATAATTTGTACCCATTTAGTTAATCCCCACTCCCAGCCCAGGCCCTAAGCAACCACTGATATGCTTTCCATCTCTATAAATTTGCCTTTTATAGACATTTTATAAAATGGACTCATACAACAGGAAGTCTTTTATGACTGGTTTCTTCCACTTAACATTTCTGAAGTTTATCCATCATTATTGCAGGTGTCTATAGTTTGTTCCTTTTTGCTGATGAATAATTTTCCATTACATGGATATACTACAGTTTATTTATCCATTTACCAGTTCATGGGCAATTTGAATTGTTTTTGGCTATTATGAATAATGCTGCCCTGAACATTACCATACACATATATCTTTGTGTGAACAGATTGTTTTCACTTCCACTGGGTAAATCCCTAGGAGTGAAACTGCTCGATTATAATAGTAAGTTTATATATATATTTTTTTTTTTAAGAAAAAGTTTCTTTTTAAGAAACTGCCAAACTCTTTTTCATATTGGCTGTACCAGTTTACATTCCCACCATGCATAAGGGTTCCAGTTTCTTCACGTGCTCACCAATACTTGGTATTGCTAGTTTTTTTCATTATAGTCATTCTGATTAATGATGTTGAGTATCTTTTCATGTGTTAACCATTATATTTCTCCTTTAGTAAAAACTCTATTCAAAGCATTTCCCTATTTTTTAGGATTATTTTACTATTATCGAGTTGCAAGCATTCTTTATATATTCTAAATACAAGTTATTTGACAGGACTTGCAGTATAGTTTGCAAATATTTTCTCTCAGTCTGTGGCTTATTTTCCTTAACGGTTTTAAATTTTTTTAATTGTGGCAAAATACACAGTTCAGTGGCATTAGGTACATAGAGAAAAAATTATACATAAACTGTTGTGTGACCATCACTACTATCCATCCACAGAACCCTTCTCATTTTGCAAAACTGAATGAAACTCTATACCCATTAAACAATAACTTCTTCCTTTTTCCCTCCAGCCTCCAGAAATCTTCATTCTACTTTCTAAGTTTGACTATTCTTGGTACTTCGTATAAGTGGAATTCATACAGTACTGGTCTTTTTGTGACTGGTTTATTTCACTTAGCATAATGTCCTCAAAGCCCATCCATGTTATAGCATGTGTCAAAATTTCCTTCCTTTTTTAGGCTGAGTAATATTTTATTGCGTGTATATACTACATTTTGTTATACAGTCATTTGATATTTTGGTTGCTTCCACCTCATGGCTATTGTGAATAATGCTGTGAACATGGGTGTACAAATATCTTTTAATGATATCTGTTGAAGCATCAAAGTTTTTGACAGTCTATCAATTTTTTCTTCTCTTTATCAGTGTTGTATTGAAGAACTTTTGCCTAACCCAAGGTCATGAAGTTTTCTCTTATGTCTTCTTTTAGAAGTTTTATAGTTTTACCACTTACACATTTCAGTTTATGATCCATTTTAAGTTAATATTTGATTGTGTGCATGATGGATGCTGGGGTTTCCGTTCATTCTTTTGCATGTGGATATCCAACTGTCCTAGTACCATTTGCTGAAAAGATTATACCCTTTTCCCACGAAATTATTTTAGCATCTTTGTAAAAAATCTCTGACCATAAATGTAAGGCTTTACTTACGAACTCTCAATTCTGTTCTACTGACTTATATGCCTGTGCTTATGCCTGTCCTGATTTACAATGCCTTTAGAATAAGTTTAGAAATCAGACAGTGTAAGTCCACCAATTTTTTTCTCCTCTTTCAAAATTGTTTTAAGTTTTGTAGAAATTGAAAAGCTGATCCTAAAAATTATACAGAAACACAAAGGCCCTAGGTTTTCTGTTGTCTAACAATTTTAACCTTACAAGTTCTTCTCAAAAAGAAAATCAAGCAAACACTATAGATTCAAAAGATATGCTTTGACTTAGGGTCCAATAGTAATCCATAAGTGTTACAATTGGGTTCTACCTTTCTGGTTGTTAAATATTTCCTACTGAAGCTGGATCCTGGTCTTAAAGTTTTGTCGCCTGGATTAGAGAAACCATTTCTGGAAGATAGGGGGCTTGAGAAGTATAGTCTGTTCCACTTGTGGGTGAGAAAGAAGTAGAGTGCTGCTTAATAAGATCTAACTGAGAAACCAGTGTTCTTAAATTATATGAGGAAGCCAGACTGAAGTCTTTGTTAGTAGAAAAGATAAACATGACCCATGAAATCCGATGCTATGAAGTGCAGGGCTGGCTAACCTTCCAGGGCTGATGAATGCACTCACCAGTTGCAGAGGTGCAGAAGAGCCCAGCTTGACTATTTGTGTGATCCAGGGAAAGATGATTAATTTCTTTAATCCTCAAATTCCTCAGCTATGAGGATTACAGAGCTATTTCACAGTGTTGTTATCAGAGTTAAAATACATGAAAAGTTCTTGGCACATAGACAAGGCTAAAAAATGACAGACTTATGAAGACATTTGCTTCTAAATACTAAATGTTATAAGAACCTAACTAAAAGAAACTAAGTTCGTCAGGAAAAAAATACTGCAGAAATGAATTTTTAAAAATAATCCAAGAGAAATATTTACATTTATCTGAAAAGGAACATGTATCTAAAATATATACATAATTATTACAATTTGATAATTAAAAAAGACAAATAAAAATGGGCAAAGAATTTGAATGGACAGTTCTCCAAAACAAATATACAAATGGTCAATAAAGACACAAAAGGATACTCAACATCATTAGCTATCAGGAAAATGTAAATGACAATCACAATGAGATACCACTTTATACTCACTGGAATGATTATAATTAAAAAACAGATAATAACAAGTATTGGTAAGGATGTGGAAAAACGGAAACATTCACATACTGCTGGTAGGAATGTAAAATAATGTAGTTGCTTTGGAAAACAGTGTGGCAGTTCCTCAAAAAGTTAAACAGTTACCATATGACCTAGCAATTCCACTCTTAGGTAAATACCCAAGAGAAATAAAAACATATGTCCACACCAAGATGTCTACATGAATGTTCATAGCAACATTATGCATTAAAGCCAAAAATGGAAACAATCCAGATATCCATCACATGATGAATGGATAAGTGTGGCACATCTACAAAATGGAATATTATTTGGCTATTAAAAGAAATGAAGTGCTGATACATGCTATAACACAGATGAACCTTGAAAACATTAAGCTAAGTGAGAAAAACCAGCACAAAGGACCACATGATTTGATCTTTATTAAGGGTCCAGAACAGAGAAAGTAATATTGTATATTGGTTGGTGTTGAGAGCATGGAGGCTAATGGGTACAGGGTTTCTTTTCGAGGTGATGAAAATGTTCTATCATTCACTTATGGTGATGGTTGCATAACTGCGAGTACAATAAAAACCAATGCACTGTATACGTTATATAGGAAGAACTGTAGAGGTGGCAGCTAAGGAGTGTGGGTTTCTTTCTGGGGTAATGAAAATGTTCTAAAATTAATTGCGGGGATGGCTGAACAATTCTGTGGACATACTAAAGCCATAACTTTAAATGGGTAAATTGTATAGTATGCAAATTATATCTCAACGAAGCTATTAAAATATAAACAAAAATGAGGGGCGGGGTGGACAAAAAAAAGAAAAAGAATGTATTAAATCAAGGTTAAAATTATGACCTCACTTTTTTTTCATTTAAAGGCTTATGATTGTTTAAATAATAGCAATATTATGGCAAATGCTATAATTATACTTTATAGAATTTGTTTTAATGGAGAGAGAAATGTAGATATATTTTATTAGCAAAATTAAAATAGAGTAAGGAAACAAAGACGTAACCATCAATTTTTTGCTTTAGGCACTTACCAAGTGACAAGTTTTATTCACCTATAACCAGAAGAAACTGAATCAGCATATAAAAACTAAGAAAAATCACACTGCTGGGAATTTGTTTCCTTTAAACAGCTCCTTTTGATTTATTCAGTCAAAATATGCAATGGCCAAACAACTAAAATCACAGCAATGGAAACTGCTTAAGTTAGACATAATGAATTAACAGTATTCCACTGCCAAGTGTTAATAATGAGATGGGCTACTAGTATTTTATTGCTATTTGCTAATGGTAGTCTGGGCCTACTATTGTTTTTTTGTTTTGTTTTTGCCAACTCTGAAAAATAATTTTAAGTAATTATAATATTCCTTTAGTATTAAAAGAGGCATTTACTGATCTATCAAGACAATAAATGGTTGTGAATAGTCACTTTAATTGTAATATTTCTCTATACAACTTTTAGCAGCACAATAAGTGTTTAGCTTAACTATAACACAATAAAATGGTGAATATTTCCTATTATCTTTTTAATAAATATAAACATATTAAAAACTGCCTGCAATTTATTATTTTACATTTATACTACTAAAATCTCCTCCTCCACTTAAAAAAAATAGCAAAATCTATTTCTTTCTCCTTCCTTGAGATTAGAGAAAAAGAATCTCTCTGAGTCAAATTTCCACTCCTAGCAACAACAGGTTAATTTCACTACACTGATAAATTTTAAGTCCATCAGTAATACACCTCAAATGAGCCCATCGTGGGCATAATGTTAGAAGTTTATTTTGAAATTCACTAGAAGATCAACTGCTTTCACATTGAATAAAAACATTTTACATTTCTAATTAATAACTCTGTTCAGTTTTCTAATTAAATGTTAATTTTTAAAAGGTTGTTCTAGAACACATATGTACCATTTAGAAGTCAAATTCTAGTGTAAATGGAGACTTTTATAACTAACCGTGAGTTTGGTTTAAAACACTAAAGCAATCAGAGATGGTTGCGTGTGGTGGTGGATGCTAAGATGATGAAAGAATGTCAATTATTAGTTTATATTGGTCCCAGATAAAGAAAATATTCTTCTGAAGTTAGGAGAGGCAATACTTGGGTTTTCTTTTTTTAAAAAAGTTAAGAAGTGAAGAGGAGAAGGACAAGGAAAGATGATTAGGAGAGAAAGACTCATGCGCTGCTGTGTTCAACAGCTGTATCACTTCTTTCTTTAAACTCCAGGAACCTTTGAGAAAAGAGGAACAGAAGAGGCAACCTAATTATGGTGGTAACTTTGCAGGCAAAGAAAATACCAGCAAAGGCAGGTTCAAGCCAGGCTATAAGATGAGGCACTTGCATCTAGGTTCCCCGGAGTGTGAAGGTCGCAGGCTGCAGCTGGCTCTAAAGTCTGGAAAACCCAACCAAGCACCAAGGTCATGAATACGCGTAGGTTCTGACACAGTTAAAAGCGCAAGGATGATCTGTAAGAAGTGTTCTATTCAAGCTGAAGTATGTCAAAAATCATAACAATTAGTGATTAGTGGTTAAAATAGCTAAGGAATCTAGGTATTTCTTTAAAACTAATATTTCGCTGTTTTAATCAAGAGTTTCACTTATATGAAAATGAAAAAAACTGAGGATAACTTAGTTGGAAAATGTGCTAATCTCTTATTCAATAAATCGCATCCCTAAGACTAACTGAAGAGATGATTAAGCCCTACTCTACTGGCTAATACTGTTCCCAAGAAGCCCCAAGTGCTAACCTAAATCTAAGCGACAGCACATCTTAGACATTGAACAAACTCTAACATTTCTGCCCATAACCTGAGTACCTTTGATTTTCTTTAAAACTGACAAAATACAGTGTTTGTCAACAAAGGGAATAACAATGTGAAAGGTTACAACATCCAGATCTAGGTCTCTGTA